TTTTGTTACCATCCAGGCTTGGTTTCCTGTGAAATTGTTCCACTTGGGAAAGAAAACCCCAGGCCTATTGGCTATGAGGATCATTACGCCCCTTTCCTCTTCTTTGGTAATCAAGTTCAGGTAACAAATCCTTTGTTAGGATAAGACGTAAAGTATGTGGCAATATCCTTGCTGAATTTGAAAGGACTCTTTGTGATTTATGTCTGAATCCTAGTTGGTCCCCAATTCTATTCCTCTAAAATCTAGAATCTCATAGGGGACAGTCCAAAATTTCAGTTCTGCTTCTACAGCAGCAGTAGGGGGAAAATAGTAAGGAAGAGGAGTTTAAAAGATCCAGGTCAGAACCTAAACTCTGCTCCTTCTAATCTGTATAACCATGGGCAAGCCCCTTTCCTCTCAAAGCTTCATTTCCTCATCTTGAAAGTAGGAATAACAACACCACCCACCTCATAGGACTGTGAGGATTAAGTAAATTCTTACACGCAAAAAGCCTGACTCAGAAATATTTCTTCTTCTTCTTAACTTGTAATTCTTTAAATAGGGATTGCTGATGGGCTCATTCAAAGTGATGCAGTAGACCCTCTCCAGCTATGTTTTCTCCCATTCCAGTCTGTGATGAGCTTTAGGGAAATTCTCAGAGACTCGTCCTCAGAGCTTGCTTCTGCTCCAAGCCCTAAGGTCCTCCCTTCCCACTAGGGGGGCTGAGGCCAGTGCTCCAGAACCTCGGACAGCTCCACTTCTTCTGACTGCTGGCTGCCTCAGGGAGCAGGAAGGACTTGGGGGATTTTCTCCTAAAGGTTGCACTACTGTGGGGATTTAGGAATCCCAAGGGCTGCAGTCTCACTCCCAGTATGCATGCCATTTGCATGCATGCCACTTGCATGTATGCTCAGATTCTTCTACACAACCAGCCCTCCTAGAAAATTCTGAGGACCTCCTGTCTCTTCCTCAGAAAACCATGAACTCCACACAGATTTACCAAATCTTCAGGGCCTTTCCTTCTCTCCTTTGAACTCCAAGGATTTTTTGGAGCCCAAGAAAAACAGAAATACCACCCACATCTTCCTGTAGCTGCTGATGTTTCATTTGTTTGGCTTCAATACAAGGATGAAACATTCTTGATTAACCTCAAGAATGTACTAATAATGTATTAGCATGAAGAAAGGTTTTATAAGACAAAGAGATTCATGTGTGAATTGAAAGAAACATAACGTCATTGCCTGTAGGTGATGTTAAGCACCATTCTCTAAACAGGATAAGCAGGTCGTTCAATTTATGAGATAATTTGGCTTTTCATTCTCCAGTGCAGAATATAACACACGTATGCAGTCACCTTCCGAACAGGCAAGGAAGAGATTAAGTCCTATTTTTACTTTATGATACTGAGTCATGTAGTTCAATGCAAATCACATGGATGCCAAAGTAAGAACGATACCAGATATTTAAATACCTCCTTTCCTTTGAGGAGCTCTAAAGAGTTTGTGACTGCGTGAAATCCCTTTAGAGCAACTTCAAGAGAGGGGACACATGTCACCAGGTGGGCATTTATGACTGAGCACCTCTCATCCATCTCCCCTACTCCCATCATTAGGCTGGAAGAGCCAGCGTTTGCCAACTCTTTGCATTTAGTAATAGTCTCCTGATATTCGCAATTCTGGGCCTCGGTATTGATGAGAATAATAAACTTATATTTGAAAAATTTGCTATTGACTTATTTAATAATAAGAAAGAGGGGAGGATAAAACTAAAATAGGAAAAAAAAAGGAGAAGGGAATGTAGAATGAAAAGAAAAGAGAGGAAAGATGCTTAAACATTCCTGAGCTTGATAACTATTTTTTATGCATTTTCCTCATAAATGAATTTGATGCCCACCCTTAACTGGATGGAAACTTGAACAAAGTCCTTTCCTTGCCCTCTTTAAATATTTTTATACGGAGAGGACAGAGGCAGTTCCATTGCTTGAACTAGCTTAAAGAAACTGCAGACAAGAAGATCAACTCAGCACTCTAAAAGCAGTCAGAGAGCTCCCAAATGGAGGGTTTGTGGTTCTTACCTAACAATGCCCACAACCCACCTTGAGCTTCTATACCACAGGCGAGTGTTAGTTGACAAATTTCAGCTTGGTTTCACTTCTGCCCAGCAGAGGTCACTGTGGATACTTGTGGAGGCTGGACCTGGCAGGGCTGGGCTGGATGGTGGCTCCACAGCCTGGTAACTGTTCTTCCTGTGTTTCCACTGGCCACAGTCTAGCCCATCATGGTATGGGAAAGGAGTCTCTGGTGAGGATTATCTCAAAGTTACACAGCACCTTCATTGTAAAAGCTCTATGGAACTGAGGTCACTTGGTGGGAGTGGGCAGGTCAGGGAGGGTCATCCTCATCCTCTAGGGGTGTCTAACCATAGTGGTATCTCTGTGTCACACTTTTGCCCTCTTTGTGAGTGTACCTGGTATTACTGAGAGATCACTGTCATTGACCAGTAATCCCAGCCCCATAGCCCTTCCAAAGTGAGTGACCAAATTTGTTGTGCCACATGATCTTGTACCCGTATCACAAGGGGCTGATAAGCGCCACCCCCAGCTCCATGTGTTAGCCTGTGATGGTGGAAGGCAGAATTCTGGTCCTCAGAGCAGCTCATTACAGCAGGATAAGGTTTCTGAGGGATGGGAAAGGTGAGGATGTTAGGGTCAGACCCAAGGCACCAGAAGGGCTGAAGAGGGCTCCACATAATTGTGAGGTCCCACTTTCTGGGCCACACCACATGCAAGCTAGGACCAGGTGGCCTGAAGCCACCTCCACCCTGAGGGCACCCACTGGAATGCATCATTACTGTGGCTTGGGAGTTGAAAGGATGACCACCCTGCCCCCATCCCCACCATCCGAGTCCAGTAGTAATGATTCTTCTCACACACAGACAGCCAGATGCATAAGCTCACCATGGCACACATTGGCACCTCACCCAGTCATATACATTTACACTTACACTCTGACCCACACCATCATCCATGGAAACACACTGTGACACATACAAACACATTGAATCCTGGAACCAAATCTGACCTAACATGGCTGATGGTGCGTGGGGTTGGGGGGGATCCAGTCAGGATGCTCCTGAAGACCCTGGCCCACTCATGCCTCCTGAACTCTGGGCCCCTCCTCGTGAGGCGGAGCCCCTCTCTTGTCCACGTCCTCGTGGTCACAGGTATTGAATGCCCCCAGAAGGGACCCCGGTTACCATCGCATACACCCCATTCTGGGTGCCGGGCCGGCGGGGGTGGTGATGTGCAGGGAAGAAGGGTGCGGAGCATAGTGCCCTGCCCGCCGCTGACGCCTCCTCCCTCGGGATTTTCCATCCCGGCTCTAGCGGGCCCGCGAGGATCGAGCGTGCTTTGTCTCCCGCCTGGCTTCTGGCACGTTTCCACGGAAGCTCCCCGCGCCGCGCCCGAAGCCCCCCTCCCCTTCCTGGCCGCGCCCCCAGCCCAGCCCGTGGCGCAGGCCGGCCAATGCGGCG